GTGTACAACGGATACACAGGGTACGAGAATATTTTTATGGATTTTACGAGAAAAATGTTCATATTTCGAAATATTTATCGTTGTAAATCGGCCACATTTCGTTCCCTATACTACTCCTTATAACGTGTTCAAATTTTCAACCGTTCTTCTCGTAACTTAACACCGAGTCACACAACACGTGACGCGTTCATGAATTAATCGTTGGCTTTTTCTTGAATTTTTTCTTTCTTTTTCCCCGCCTGTGACAAGACAATAGACCTTTTTACAGTTCCCGGCGCCATATTGGATTAGTAACCGCGCACACACGATAACGAGGCTGGGGTTGACTCGGCGGTTCTTTCAAACAGCTGATCTGCTGACATTTCACGATCTAATGCACTTTTCAATGCAATTTCTCCCTTCAAAATAGTTCTTTAACACAACAATATGAAAATTTCGTCATAAGATGACATCCTGAAACTCGAAGCAAAAGATCTCAGGAAGATTTTAAAGTGTAATTTAAAATCGACGGGCTGAATTAGAGCCGACTTAGTGTTGAAAGTTTATGCTTTGCTGATGTGACACGTCCTTCCATGGAGTAGCGGAGAAAACCGAGAACTTCTTACAGATGTCCAGGACCTAGAACAAAACCAGAGCGACTTCAGATACGAAGTAACTATGGTAAGGATTTCAGCCCTTGAATGGACGAGCAATTACCGTAATTTACCTGAGATGAATTTCAGTCAGCTTTACGATTACCCCGTTGTTTCACTCGAGAACTCGCCACATCGTGTTGAGAGGAACACATTACAGGAAGTACCACAGAAGCTGTTCAATATGGCTTAGAAAGCGGGCAAAGGCTGCAGCCCTCTAGGTAGAGGAGATTTGTTATTGCTCCTGTTGTTGATGTGGTACTTGTTGTTGTACCATATTCTTCAGTTAAAGTTGTTCCCATTTTGTTCACCAAGATGTCTTTTAGTTTGCCATTTGTACATTTTATCTTATGGGAAACTATACAATAGAGCCTGTAGAACCACTTGATTATAACCCTTGTTTCTATCAACCCATGAGGAAAACTGTAACTAACACATGTCATAATATTTTCATACCCATTTTGGCCAGGAAAACTTATGCTCGTGATACATTGAAAACTATTTCAGTCCACGACTCATGGTAATAATCAGACCAAAATATTAGACAATTTAAAAACTCACAGAAGTGACTGATTCATGTAACTTCTCCAAACACTATCCAGCAAACAGATAATGTTAATACTGAAACTTATCAGGCAAAAGTTATCTTGATCTTACATCAGATTCTCATAACTTATTTACAAGTAAATGTGTAGCAACTAGAAGGGCGAATTGACAATCAGATCTTGGGTATTTAAGGGTTAAAGGAAGAGAACAGAAATGCTTCCTCTCAGCTACTGATCTCAACAATGCTAGTCCTTTACATACATTTAAGTTTCTGTCAGTTATAGACATTCAGTGAATTGATATTCCCGCTCTTAGCACTCAGAGGCCAAAGGTTTGCTATACTAGTTCTTCTATACTATTTCTTACTGCATTGTGTTAACCAATGTTATGATATAATTTTGAGATGTAAGAAGATACCTAAAAGATTGAGAAATATATCCAAATCAAGATATTTATTTTATCCTGTTATAGTTACCATAAGATTTTTTTGAAAGAGAATCTTTCAGACGATCGAAATGTATGAGGAATTATTTTTTGTGAGACTTCTGTCAAACTTTTTATTATGAGGACAATTTTGTGAATAATAAAATTTAGTGTCATAGTTCATCTTTGTGTCGAGAACTCTTTTAGTTGGTGAAACTCACTTTTTCTTTTTTTCAATTTGAAGTATCAAATTGATTGATACATAAAGCACACAAAATATTTTTTGAGAGTTCCATGTGGCATCCATAGCGGATTACTATGCTATCATAAAAACCAAAAACAAAAACTATTGAAAACTGCTTTGTCACAATTGCTACCAAATTTGAGTCAGTTTTCTGGGTTTGCCATAATAAGTGAAAACTCTGAAGATAGAGTGTCTTGGTTATTTCATTAAAAGCAATTACTTTCCAAGAGTTTCTATGCTAGGAGCGTTTTAGGCAAGCCATGTAGTAAACAGGTGAGCAGCACTGAACTTCTTTACTTGCGGCCGGAATTAAAAAAAACTCTACTGAACTTAAAACAATTCAGGAAACTACTAGAAAATTTATACTAATTTTGCAACAATAGTTACCCTCATCCATAATTCACAGAGAATGCGATAGGTATAGAACGATAAGTACTTAGCAAAAATACATGCCTCCGTGCATAAACTTGAAGAAGTGAAAGCTCGTAGGCAAACCATTGGGGCCATAAAATGTATTTGAACAACCAAAAGCGGCACACTGCTTTCCTTTCTTTTTGGGAGAAAAATTAGCTTTATCGAGATTTCGGCTAGGACCATCCATTTTCCTTAAAAATCGAACAATTTTATTGCCCACGTACGAATTTCACCAAAATTGCTCACAGAGATTTAACGTGAGTCAACCCCAGCCTCGTTCTCACGTGTGGGCGGTTGCATTTCCAATATGGCGCTGGGAACTGTAAAAAGGTCTATTGCGTAAACAATACTTAACATAATAACATTATACACAAAAAACACAGGATTTTGGATCATGTATTTATTAAAAAAGAATATCCATACAACTACAATGAAAACAAACATAAGATTCACGTTTCTGATCGTGAAATTAATACCATTCGCACTGTTATCGTAGCTACGTTCCCTAGCATCAAGTGAATCCAACATGGCGTCTTTCTTCACAAGCAGTTTGCATCCATTAGAGTTTCGTTCTTCAGTCTCACGGTAGTAGTGTTGTTCAATAGATTGCATAGAGTATATGCAGTTTGGTTTCAGATTTCAGATTTTGCTCTTTACAACAAGTGTACGTTTTTCAACGAAGACATTGGCATACTTGGCATACTTGGCATACAAGGCTTACAAGGCTTACAAGGCATACAACGCATTCAGGGCTTTCATGGCTTTCAAGCGTTCGCGACTCAATCCGTTCCAAAATTACCACTCAATAACATCTTTTAGTGTGGATTGGCCACGAACAATACGACTTGTGTATGCGTCTGTAAGTATTTTGAGCTTTTGCGCCATAATGCTCCAGGTGATCGTAATCCAAACACGTTGAAATACAAAAAGAGTGACAAAAGAGTTTTATAAGCAAAAATCTCGTGGTTCGTCATGTGACCCGGCCCTGTCCGTGTATGACAACGTCAATCGTCATCAAGATAACACGCGTGATCAGCATGTGAACACCTCATTGGATCACAGTTAGTTGTCATGGTATTGAGGGCCCAATGATCACTGGGTACTATTGCGCAATTTTTTTCATTTTGTGGCGGAGGAAAAAAAAAAGACAAAAAAACAAAGGCATTTTATTACTGGTCTACCACAGGTATCCCAGTAATGAGCCCAGGATTTCTGGTTAATGTCATTCTTTGTGTACAGCCCCCTGATCCATGACATCATTTATAAGAACATAGTTATGCGTAGCATGGGCGGGTTGAGATGGGACACTTTGTGTACATAACGTTTTCATTTTTGTAACAGAAAGAGAGCATAACTTTCTGATGGACGAAAATATCGCGTTACCTCACCTTGAGAGAAAGAAAAAAACAATTTATTTGAACACACACCACAGGCAGCCCAAGCTCCAGCTGCGAGATGATCATCTTGCGAAATAAGATTCATGGTGATTTTTTCGGATTTTCTTTATCTGGCGGTGGCATACCTGAGTATTTTTATGAGTTGTGTCGTATTTTGACTTTCCCCACAGGCTCGTCAAATTCAAACAAGGAGTGAAAGTACCAGGTAATACTACACACCAATGAATAGTTTATTGGGTTATTTATGATCCAACTGCTTTTTTCTCCGCCAAGTCTTTCTGCTCATTTCTCATAAGGCGGGAAAAGCAAAGTGGATAGAGAAGCACAGCGTGTTGTCCAATCAATCTCTGGACTCAGAGACCCTGCCGAGGGATCTTAATATGATTAATATTATTTAAGGGCCCCTCCAGGGATTTTTGTTGCTAATTTGCCCTATCAGGCTCCAAAGGCCTTGTTTTGGGTTTTTGGTACGGTTTACAGTTGTGGGTCTACCCTTTTCTAATGCTTGCCGCATTGCCTCTTCAGTTGCGCTATTCGTTTTGTTTTTTGTCATATTATTAACAACACTTTCTGCTCATTCACGTGATTTTGTATCTTATTGATTAGTTGTCACCTGTAATTACGTAATCATTAGCACTTCGATCTTACTTAGAGCTCTTTTTTATTCAAAAGTTGTAAATAACTGAAGAAGGTCTCTGACCGAAACGTTTTTTATAAATATTTTCTTTTTTTACCTCAGAAGTTGTCCACCCTCGCATTTTTCTTAACTCTCTACGTATATATATATATATATATATAAAGAGTAATTTTGACTTATGTATATAAAGTAGAAGCACTCCAATAAATATATATTTGAAGTAAAATTCATGCATATTTCTCTCCCGAAATCAGTGTTTGTAGTATTTGTGAGCAAGGTTTTGGAAATCAGTGGTCAATTAAGGTATAAAATGGCCTTGAGCGGTCTCCCCGTCATTCTCTACCGTGACCGTTTAATGCATAAAGAAAAAATTTCATGGAATATGGACCTGCTTTACTCAGTTTCAGATTTCCAGTACCTTAGCTAGAAAAATCATGTGAGCATTGGATAAGTACCGTTGCGATTGTGAGCCGTATAAGCCGGAGCTGTATGAGAACCAAAAGCATGTTATTATGAAGGAATCAAAAACCGAAAAAAAAAAATTCGAACGTGTTCTAGGTACCTGTTGTGGAGGTGATCGTGCCTGTCCACTAACAAAATTATGTCACTACTTCACACTTAAAGAACGGAAGCTATCAAGAATCGAGATCTGAAAAAGCTGGTTCCTGCTAAAGTCGGCTCAAAATGAAGGTAAACGTAAATTAATACTAATGAGAATTAATTAATGAGACGAGGAGATAATTAAACTCTTCCTCCTCCTCTAGTTCGTCACCATCGATGTTCTCTGTGCGTCTCATGACTGCGCTTATTCTTTTATCTAATTTTCCCAACCGTTCCTCCGTACAATTAAGGAGACTTTGAGAGTTTAAACAGAACGGTTCTGCGTCGGAACGACACATGTTGACAAAAGTTGTTTCGTCACAAAATAATTTAAATTCTGGTCCCCTTTTTTCTTCTTGGAATAAGTTCATGAAACGCTCCCCAATGAAATGTGCCATTTCAAGCTCCTCTGAACTTTCTTCTGCGTTATCTTTGGCGTCAGTGTAGGATTCGTTCAGGATAGATACCAACATATTCATAAGAAATATCGTCATCATTAACATGAACAAAAGAACAAAAGTTGGACCGATAAAAGGTTTATCTTTGCGAAGATCAGCAATTGGGACTGCCTTTCCCAACAGAAATTCAAGTTGCGAAATGGCAGCATGCAGATAACTAAAGTAATGATAAACTACTCCTCCAAAAAGCTGCATTCCTGATATAACAAACGCGTTAAATACTATGGCAAAGAAAACCAAATATGACAGTTGGCAGCTTACAGATTGTCGGAAAGACGAGAACAAGTATATGACATAAGGGTTAAAACGAATAAGATCTAAAAGCTTCACTGTAACCATAAAAATCGCAAGAGCAATAGAGACATTTTCCCAGTTAGCCCAACTTAAAGCAGAATGAAAATGAATTATTTCGAAAGGATTTTTTTTAATTGCATTGATGCTGTTTAAGATTTTCTTGGATCTGATCATGTAGCACACCACGGACATTGTAGAAGAGATGATCATCAAGAAATCAACCATATTCCAGATAGACTTAAAAAATCCCAACCGTTGTCTGTAAAAGTGAAACAACATCATGATGAGGTAGAATAGCACCATTGCCAAGAATAAAAACTGACAGATGAGATAGAACATGAGAGCCCCCGACTCCGTGTTGTACAACTCGAGAGTGTCCACCTTCATAACTGTGTAGGCTGCACCAGCCGCAATCATTTCGTAAATAAACGTTGCAATGCTAATTAAATTCGTATTAAAATTGAACGCTGCAAACTCCACGATTACTGAACGAGTATTTCGATCAAGCCATCCATGGCCAATGGTTTCATCTAAAACGCCACGTGCTGTTTGCTCATCATATCCCAAGACAGCTACGTAGCCACCTCCTCCATAATTGTTGTACACGGCTTTTACAGGATCAGTGTCCAGCGTTTCAGCTGTCTGGTAACGCCAGGGTTTTGGACAAATTCGAAGTGCCTTTGGCCAGGATGTATTTAAGGGAAGTGGCCGCCAGCCTGGAAGACTCAACTGTGTTGTGTCCTCTATCTCTGGAGAATAGTCGTAGTAGCAGTCTGGTATAGTTTCAGAAAGTGACTCACAACGACCTTCAGAATACAAAAAAAATAGGAATCATAGAAGTATGAAACGAATCGGGAAAAAAAGTTAATTATGTAAAAATAGTTTTGCAATTTATTCAACTATAATTATAATCAAACGCACTTTTATGAATTCTTAGCTGTCGCACCCAAGGCATGCCAATCGATATGGACATCTTATTAGCGATGTAAACATCATTTGGCTCTTCGAGGCCATTATACCAGTCTTGGTTGTATACGTTTGGTAGAAACTGCTTTGCCAGCCATCTCGACAGTCTCTGGGAATCATTCACCTTAACACGGAACACAAAAAGAAGTTCACATAACTGGACTGAAGAACTAAATATTTACTTGTATTATAGGTGAAGTTAAATGAAAGGGATTGATGTTTTATTCAGAAACTTAACATAACCAAGCTTCCAGATTGCATTTAATATTGCCGCCTTTATTTATGTTAGCCTATGATGAGGCCTCTTCTAATCAAAAAAGGATTGAAAAGGGTAAGAACTGAAAAAAGCGAACTAACATGAGTATTAGCAGGCTCCATTAGCCTTGTCTGATCAGGTCTCTCAAGTACCCGTCCCAAACACACTGCGACTACACCGTTCACTTCTTCAGTACACCTCTTCAGTCATTATGAAATAAATGTCATCATGATCATTGTAATCAAGACTCTATTTAACAGAACTATCGAATTTGATTGGTTCTCATTATCCCGATTTGAGTATTAACTAGGACAATGTACGCGTCATGCTTACAATTGCATAAGTGTTTTGGGCAGTGTGCGCGACTTGCCTGTATAATTGGACGCGTCATGTGTGCACGCCGTTGCCGCGCATTTCTTGGGATAAAACTAATGTTTGCTTCTCTCTTTGTTTGCTCTTTTTCTTTTGAGAAGTTATCATAGATGCTGAATTTTTTCTCTAATTTAGTCATAATTTGTGCGGACAGAAATTTGTTTGGTCCCATTCACTTAGTAATCATACTTGTAAGCAATAAATCACTCCATGATTACAGACCGAATTGGACTCCACTCAATTTAGTTGCCATTACTTATCATCGTTATCGTTATTTCTATCATTATTACTACCTCAAATATCGATATCATCATCATTAGCGCCACCATCACCATCATAGCTGTATCGTTATTATCACTATCACTGTGATCGTTAATTTCATCGATTTTCAATTTTAAAAGATATAAAAAAAGTGGTTCATACCAGATCAAAGCTTGCGAAAGTATTTTTCATCTCTGTTGTCATCAAGAAACAATTCTCATTCTTGTTGCCATAGGAAACTACTGACAGCAGAAACACAAATAACAAATGGAGGACAATTTCCCTCGCCGTACTTGCTAACCGAGCCTCTTTTCTGCTTTGTATGCGCATTTTCTCCATGAGGCTCTGTTTAAAACGTTCTTTAGGATTGTCACTCAAAATATCCACATCATCGTCTTGGAGTTCACCCTCTTTAACAAGTCCCTCTTCCACATCATCCTGTTTGTTTCTAGTCATAAGAAAGGAAACTAAAATAACTGCTAACATGACCTTTGTTGGCTGCATGACAAAAACGTCTTGTCCATTGGAAATAAGAATGGAGGCCAGCCACTGCTCAGCGACTTCCTTACCCCACATTAAACTGTAAAATAACGTAAATGTTGCTGCTGTCATAGTGGTGACAAAGCAGAGAAACCAAGCGATGTATACACAGAAATATGGCAGCATACAGCCTTGACCATTTACTTCATCGACGAGTTGTTGTGCCTGAAATGAATCTTTATATTTGTCTTCTTTCTTCTCCTTTGTTCTACTAGACTTAAACAGAAACACAATCAGAACGTTTACAGGTGCAATTATTATAGCACTCTGTACCCCAACGACTATTTGTCTCCAGGAGAACTTGAAAGGTCCAATTTGTATTGCTCCCGCTGACTCCCCGCCAATATTATAAAACATGGCATTGGCTATCATTGCACTGAAGAGAATTGAAAGACAACACGACACTCTTTGCACACGCGTGAATGTACTACTGCACGCTTTACCAAAGACTGACATCCACAAATGGCTGTCAGCTATCTTTCTCCCAAAGCGCGATCTCACCTCCGCCGAAAAGGATGTAGCTGCTTTGCTTTTTATACTAATTTCTATTTGCCCATCGTCTTTTTTTCGAGTGCGAGCCATCTATTTATGGGGAACACCCAGCGTTCTTCTGTTTGTCTGTCTCTGATTACCACTGTTTCTACAAACCAAGATGGACTTTCTCCTGAATTATCGTGTTCCAAAGTTATTTCGTTTAGATTTCCTAATGACTCGTTTGTAACCAGAACAAAACCATTTATACTTCCTCGACTAAAAACTTCCTGTAAATCACCATGTTTTTGAAGAGTGATGAGATCATGTTCATTGTTGTCTCCTTTTATGCTCATCGTTACGTTTGCCGTTGTAGCTGAGTCTCTCCAAACACCAGTGCTGATAACCATGTCGTAGTAGTACGTTCCTTCTTCAACAAGATTTATCTGTGGCGGTGGGAAAATCTGCGAAAACAAGTAATTACAACAATTTACCTTGTTTACCCGGTGGTGGCCCCATAAAAATAGTTACATCATTGAGCTGATACTGGGAGATACAACTTTGTATTATTTTCCACACCCAAACTATTAAAATGTCCAGCGAAAACAGCTACATAAAAGACAGTTTAATTTCCGTTCACATCGCTTGACAGAATCTTCAATATCTTTGGATTTAAGGGCAATAAAGAGATAAGCGTAAAGAAGAAGCTGCACTTTGGTACACAGCGTAATGAGAAAAGAAAAGAAAGGAAGAAAGAACGCGAGACTACTGATTTTCTCATCGTAAGCTCTTAACTGTATTACTACTGCAGGATGATTTGTGCGTAAATATTACATGCAAAATTTAAATGCATACCTTGCTTTGATCTCTTTTGTCAGCCCTCCTTGCAAATATAAGAGCTACAAAGTAAATAAGGAACGCAAATGCAATTGTCACGAGCACTGAAATGTTGCCCGACTCGCTAAGTCGCGCAAACTCCGTGAAAACTTTGTCGAAGTCAATGGGATTGGGAGCTTGAATGAAGTTTCCGCCGAAAGACGTCAGATGGTTGCAGAGGCATTTGAGATGCGTGGTGTTAGAGCCCACGTCGACCTGCCAAGGAAATATAAGAAATAGGTGCCATCAGTACATGTTTATAGATTTCGTACCGAAATTTAGCTCACTTTGTAGGATAATGTGGTCGGTTCTCCCTTTATAAGTCATTATTTGAAATCATAACTGGATTCATACTTACTTTGCAACCATCGGATGTCCATTTTTCCTCCTCTTCAGACCAATACAAACAACTTGACTGGGTTATGGTCAACGTATAGTTGACATCAGTTTGTGGGTTATATTGAGGTAAAATCGTCTGAAGGATCCCTTTCGGAGGTGGATCTTTGACGCCAACGCATGATCGTCTCTGGCGACCATGCCCGAAGCATGACCGTTTCTCTCTGGAATTTTTGCTTGCATTTTTCGATTCTTCCAATAATAAACCTATGTAAATGTGACTTGGTTCGGTAGGAAGTACGGTAATTATTCTCTCTTCTGGAATACACAAAGTTTCTTTGGCCTCGCTCTTTGTCACATTTCCGCACTTTGACGTGAGCTTTAGCGTAAAGTTGAGGTCAGAGTCCTCTGTGGTAGGTCTTGACGCAAATTTCACAAGTATCTTAACTAATGTCTCCTCTTTTGCCACTCCCAGCCTGATGGAAACAGGTACATCTGCTAGGTCTGCGTAATACCTCCTCACAGTCAATTTGTTTGGCTTTAGAAAATAATGCTCTGATCCGTTGCTGGTATTTGAAGGAGGGGGGGAAATAGGTATAACTATTTCAATATAATCGTCGAGGTTTGAAACATTCAGTCTTGTTGCATTTTCCGTTTGAAGCTCGAGGCTAATGACACTGGACTGGACTTTCTTGCTGCTATTGTCCCAAGAGAACGGATTAAAGTCAGCACTTTTCATCTGCAAAAACACGGAAGTTATACTCTTTCAAGTAAAAGGCGTAATTTACTAGCAAGACTATTTGCTCTGACGGAGGGCTGACCCTCGAAAAATCAGCTTTAGAAACTCTCCGCTTTAGAAACTCCCCGAGGTTACCAGTTCAGTTGATTAAACCAGTATTTTCACACTTTAAGAATCAATTTCCTGATGATTTAAGGCAAAAATATTAAACGAAATTTATCAAAAGAGAAACTTAACCTGCTTCAATATATATACCACGTATTATTTGACAATGTAGTGTATTTGGGAAACATTTCAGAGTTTATGTGCATGACGTTTTCACAGTACTGCAGTAGAGAATGTGTAAGCTATTCATTGTAACTGAGAAACTTCAAATAGTGTTACAAAACACTTAGTTATCAAAGCTATTGGATCGAATACAATTTCTGAGCAATGAGTGGCGTATGGAGAGTAATTTTAAACAAAAGGTTCAAACTTTTGATGCAACGCTAAAAGCGTTGACAGATATTTTCAAATGACATCCAATTTGGAAATGCGAGGTTTGTTGTTTATCTACACTTTAAAAATCCTTACCTTTGCATTAATGTTTCCATCAACCATATTCCCTAGGTTTCCTGGTAGTTTAAATTTTGTTGGTCCATCTTCCATGTTAAGACCCTTTATACCGTCAGCAGATACCTTCTTAAGGGTCGATGTCAAGCCAGGCGTTTTCAAGACAAGATTTTCAGAGGGAACAAGACGGGTGAAAAATGCATTATTCATAGCGTCCAATTTTTCAGCAGCTTTTTTCACACTCTCCTGTCGTAAAAAAAAAAAACCCAATGAAATTTTCCACTAAATGTGATGTCTGAGGAATTAGCTAAGCCTTGACTAAGCCTTTGCAAGTGTTATTTGTTTAATAATGTTTGTCGTAATAGCTGAGCTCACAGTGCGCGCAGCGTAGCCCTATAATTATCGGAAATAGTAGGATTAGTAACCCATCAGGCCGAAAAATTTGGACTTATGACGACCGAACGACCGACTGAACAATTTGCTACTTTTCATATGCGCGGAGAACGGCATTAGCCATTACGTAATGGAAGAGTGAAGGAGAAGGTAATGCGCAGGTGCGATTGTGTGAGTAACTTGGATACCCAATTAGCTTGCGCCAGGAGACACCGGCAAAGGATAATAAAGTAAGCATACTCGAACGCTAAACTTTATTGCAGCGTACCACACAGCTAGGTATAACACGGAGGCCTCGCGTAGGTGATAGATGTAAGCCGCGTAAGAAAATAATTTGTAACCCATATTTTGAGCAGGAAATCAAACCAGTGAGGTTGGAGTTTAACATTAATTCTCAGTATTCTGCAATCTATGATCAACTCGCAAAGCAACGATACCAGCGGAGCGAAGATGTGTGTTTTACCCTAAGACCGAAGTAATGGCCTTTCCTAAAATTGAAGTAAAATTAGATTGAGTCAGCGATGTTCATCTTTAAATTAATTATAGCACGGTTATTTGTGTTTGTCAATTTTTCGTGTGAGAACCCGTCAAAAATCTGAGAATTAAATTACTGACCTCAAGTGTGTGGTGCAAAACATCTGACAGATAAAATTGTATTAGCCCTACTGCGGGAGGAGTGAATTTCATTTTTTGGTCATGGTACTTTTCAGCGCCATATTTTCATGCTTTCTACTCGATTCGTTAGAGCTTCAGGAAATGATTTGTCTCACAAAGCATGGAGCCACATCCTCTTCGCTTAACAACCTTATTGCTAGGATGCATAGGGTTTGATGATTGTGATGTGTGTCTTTTAGGTTTTCGACTTTCAGCTTTGTATTAAGTGTAATTGTTTACCGTATCTATTTCTCTGCACCTTAAGCACTCACAAGTTGAAGCAGGTGAGTCAATAACCTGACTTCCTTCGTTCGGAATTGTGTTATTATATAATTTGGCTGTGTAAGTAACGACATTGTAACATTTAATATTATTATTTAGATTGCATTAAATACTCTTGCTCAAATAGTAACAGTGCATGGTGTTTCTTGCCATTGCTCATACCAAAAATAACTTTGATGTGAGGAATTCGTCACAAGGCATATGACCACATAATGCACAAGGCAAGAATATAAATGTCTTAGCTTTATAAGTTCGTAACTTAAAATAGGAGAGTTATGCAGACCATATCTTACTTTTAAACCTCCTCTGGATATTTGCTCAAATAACATAGACACTATCAGTCTCATTCACTCTCATTATTGTCCACTGACCTTATAGAAAGATGATAACCTCGGTATTTTTTAAATGAAGCAAGGAAAGCCTGCTCTCTTACTACAGATAGTTCCTTTGCGCATGAGCAAATTTCTATATTTAAGCACTCTCTTAAGTTTTAAATTAAAGGCAGACCCTGGGTTGTTGATTACTACCAACTCTTGATTATTTGTTTCTTGTAAAACAGGGATTTCATTTGTACGTGAAAGTTATTGTTCCAGGTAGGCCAACCCTGTAAATTAGCTGTGAAAATTTCTAGAATCTGTCGTCGTATGAATGTTTGACTCAAATTCACCAAAACTGAATCAATAGAAACTTGAAATTTATTTGTTTTCCTTTTGAGGTGTGCATCAAAAATATGTAGTCACTGCAGGCTTGAACTACAGGTTTGTAGTAAATCTGCATGCGCGTGGGTTTTCAAAATTAAAACCAGGATTACCAATATGTCAAATGACTCTACTACGTACGATACAAATACAGGCAGGTGTTAAAAAAGTTTATTTGGCTACTTCATTAATGCAGATTTCCTTTTCTGAGAATCTTATTTATCCGGCCTGTGCCGAATTCTGATTTTTCAACCAAATTTTATATTCTTCTGAATATTCTTAGGTCTCCTAGTATCAGTTAATCTTCATGTAATTAAAATAATTACCTGAATTCCTGCAGATGTATCGCACATCACTTTTCCTCTGATCCTACTAATAATTTATTATGTGTAAGGTTTGAAATTGGCTATAAAAGTATAGTCAAATTAAAGTTTTATGCACAGCCTATACATCAGTTATTTAATAAAACATTGTATCCTTAAAACTAGTTTATCAGAATAAGAATAAGTTACTAGGCACAAGTTTGGTTTTTCACGATGATAGTTTCCAGGTTTGAAAAAAGTCACCGCCTACAAAAATCCTCAGTTCCTTTGCCCTGATAGCCCAACCTCATCAAAACATTTGCAACAGGAGTGATTAGCAAGTTAATGATACAGATAAGAGAGCCTATTCTCACGCACACCCTACCCAATCCAGATAACTTATTACGGATTGACATTTCAAACATGGTCTGAGATGTAAAACTAGGTATTATCTCAAGTTTTCTGCATGTCTTTATTGTTGAATCTTAAGTCTCTCTTTGTCATCAAGTTTTAATTATGATATTTTTTGTTCTAGCTTGTCTTCCTTTAAATCAAACTATCGCAACGTGAGAAACATGTTAGACAAATTTCGTATTTCAGTAATTAGAGTTGCTTAGATCATGGAAATTATCTGCAGTTACAATAGAGGTCACCGAATTAAATAACAGAAAAGATAAATATATATATATAAAAGACGTCGGGTATTTCCAGACAGTCGACGATCATGAAACAAGAATAGCCAATAGAGAAAAGGTAAAAAAAATAACAGGTTCAAACACAAGTGGAAAATGATTTTTGTTTTTAATTTTCTAAGCTTATCAGAGGAGGTTGGAATGTTAGGGAAAAACGTTGGGGAAAGCAGTCATACCTGGCGACTGAAAGAAAAGATATAAGAGAAGCCCATACGGTTCTGGCGTATTGTTTCTCTGACTCACTGTCCTCACGTATATACTCTTCAGTCGACCTGTGATGTCGATTTCTCGTCTTAGCGCGAAGTGGTTTACCGCCGTATCTTTCAATTTTGGCTCATTTTCCCAAACCGAAACTAAGCGTCGCGCACAATATAATTTCGACTGATGCTTGCGCCATACACGTCATCTGAAGTAGAAAACACTAAATTCGACATCAGGAATAAGAACGAAGATTGTTAGCTGCTTGAAGATACCGCTGACCAACATGCATGTCTCGATCACTTTGCAAGTTGTAAGAACATCTTTCTCCCCCCCCCGACTGGTCCCTAAATCCCCTTGAAGAAACTCTTCTACAGCCTATGCTGAAGAGTTTCATTACAGTTTTTATGATAACGAAGGGATGGAAAATAAATTAACAAGAGCTCCCCTTTTAGGCTTGGCTAAATCTATATCTTATTTTTAAGGGTCACATATTTTTGTTTGGATCACACAATTTCATCTTCACACAAACACTCTCATCCTCCTGCAAATAATTGTAGAAGTTAAGTTTGGCTTGTACAGGGTGACATAATACAACTCACTCTCGTTTACTTAATTTCGTGAATTTAATTTTGTCATACCTTCTCAGATTCAGTGCTCTTCCTTGAATCGCCACTTTCTTTGTTCGACCCTGGGGCAGACTTTAGAATGTTTTTTAGACACGTGGTGATACTCACAGCCGATTCTTCCAGTTCATCAGAAAATGGTTCCTCTAAGTCGCCAAGGGCAGACTTTAGTAGTTCTGTTGTGGCATCCGTTAGTTTCATAGTTTCATTCTTAAGAAAGGCATTTGATTGCGATCAAAACAATATTCATGTGTTTTCTGATACGTCGCAGTTTATGTGTAAAAGAGGAAAAGGGAAGATTCTTACCGCAGAATTACCGCAGTCATTACAAGATGAGGCTTCTTGGTTACCACCTGCTAGTTTTACTACACTCATTACAGTTCGAGACATCTGTAGGTCCTCCGGCTTTATGGAAGTGAACTTCTCCACCAACGTACTTGAAATCTACGCCGGAAAATTAAGTATCTAAAGTTTTGAGGAGTTAAAAACGCTTACAAGGGATAACTAAATTTTGAAATTGATACTTCAGATTAATATCAACTATACAACAGCTAATTTGTATATAAGTGTATGAGATGCTTACTTGTGGATAACATTAAAAAAACAAGCAGATTATCGGGAAAAAAAAATATAGAAACAAACAAATACACAGCTCTCCATCGCTAATTTGAAAAAAAATATTATCACGGTAAGTAGACCCACTAGTGTTTTGGTATCTTGGCCTAGCGTTTGCCCACACTTTGTTTCCTCGTTAGCTGATTGGAGGACAGTAATAGCAAGTTGGGAGGCTTGACTAATTTCACCCTTCTTCAGAAACTTATCCAAGTCGCTGTCATCCCCAATGACAAACCCTTTCAACTTGCTAGAAACTTCTTCTATCTGTGAACGGCAAGGATCGAGTTGGGTCGATGGCACCACCTTTTGGAAAACAGGACAAGTGTTAGAAGGCTTTAATACATGGCGGAATAAAGTTTTCTTTTTACAAAAATATCTTGCGCCTTTCGACTGGTTCAGCAATCTCAGCTTACTGAGATTCACTTATACTTAAAACGAATCGTGGTCACTAAAGTCACTAAATCAACAAAATTACTATTTTTATTGTTTTGAGTTGATTCGTCTTTTCCTTCTTCCACCCGTTTATCCGCCTACGTCTCAGTACTCGTGGTTCATCAACTTTATTATACCTGTACCTATTGTACATTTGATGGTCCTTTCAGAGAAACCCTCTTCTGAGGCGTACAGTTTTATTATTACCTTTACAGAGAGCTTCTTTACAACAGCCACACCAACAGAATTCTTAATAATAACGTTGATGGACAGCTGATAATCGTTTTCCGGTAATCCAGAGGGTAAGACTGTTGAAACAGATTTTGCAGAGGTGCCGTAAGATATTGGCTCGTCTCCGACGCGAAATTCGTAAGATAGTGGTTTATTTTTATCTTGCCATTCAAAGCATTCAAATGAAAATTTTGTTTCCAAAGAGAAACCTACAACGGCTGATGGCTCGCAATAGCCACTATGGGGCTGTCCAGCTGTCTCAAACTCCAGCACTGCAAATCCTGCTGTCCCACCGGGGTGTATTACAGTCAGGTTCAGGGCGTATTTTGAGCTTGACTGCAAGGATTTCTTTTTGATAATCATGTTGGTTGCATTTATTGCAGTTGATGTCATATTGGGTAAGATAGCTATGCGCTCCAGTTGTTTTGAATTATCATTCAACCTCATTAATTGCCATATATACTCAGAACCAATACAGGGAGAATTGAGACACTCTGATGTCACTCGAAACTTGTTTGAAGCAGACACTACTTTACCACAGTCTACGAAACACCTGCATGAAAATAGGAGAATTAAAGTATATTGATTGTTATAATTCATTTTGCATCGATCTGAGGAGAAAACAATAGTAGCAACAACAATGATCTACAAAAGAGATCAATTTCCTGACACACTTAACATTGCTTAAGGCCAAGTCAACATACGCCTCAGCTTTGCGTGTGATTGGTTGAAGGTAGAACAAAGCCACTGCAATCAGCAATTTGTAATGTACTCTTAAGGGTTTAACAAAAAGGAAAGGCTGTGTATAGAGGAAGACTGAAAGAGAGGAAGAATAAAATAAAACAATCATTTTAAAATACCTTAAGCTAACTTGAGGTATCTCACCAGCTGCTATCTCAAAAATAATTTCGGCGAAATGACTTCGATCATCTCTGGACACTTTTAGTCTGAGAACGTATGGGTGTCTTATTTTAAGCCCACGAGGGATAATTTCTATGGATGTTAGAGTTACGTCTCCCTTGAAAGAACCAAAGCAGTTATCGCTGACGGAAGTATTATCTCCAAGACGATAACAGGACCAGGTAAATTTCAGCCCGCTAGAGTTTCCAGGACCAACATCTCCATCATAGCTAAGGGATCCATCCACTGTAACAGTCTCTAGAACCCCAAAGAACACTACTTCCTCCATCGATGATGGCCCGCAAAGGAGCTGCAATAACTTTGATAAAGCCGTAATCAAAAGCCTTGAGAGTTTCTGAGGATGCTGGATCACCGACTCTAATAGACACAGTAAATGTTACTAGATAGTTTCCAGAAGGTACGGATCGCCTATTTATGTTCCACTGTGCAGTTCCTTGACTAACTAAAGTTCCCACTGGTGATTCAGAAGCTTCCAGCTCCTGTTCACTGATTAAACGCCATTCCATGACACTTTCCAACACAGGTTTATCTGGAAGATCTTCGATGATTGCCTGATGGATACTTTTTTCAGACCGCTTGACAGTCGTTGCCAAATATTTGTCCTTGGATATATCCCTAATCGTTACTGGGAAATCTCCTGTAGATCGAGATGCAATGAACTTCCAGGGTTAAACGCATTTTTGTGAATCAATCACACTAAAGCGAGATAACCTGTATACCTCGAAGGTTTTTTCTTTTTCATAGGCGTTTGTAGGGGTTACTATCGGTACTAGTTTATGATGGTCAAACGAAGAACTATCTCACTTACCTAAGGGCTCACAAGAAATACCGTCTCCTCGGTAATCAGTCCTACACTCGCAGGTGAATGATCCATTATTATTGTAACAGTGAGCTACACCATGGCAGTTGTGCGTTGCTGTGGTACACTCATCAATGTCTGTGGGATTGTATTTTTTTAGTTCAAAGTTCTAAATCGTGACCACATACCATACAGTATCATGGGTAAGGTCAAGGGTTGTCCTGGAAAACTCAAGGGGTGGTAAAAACCTGCTTGGAAATTATGCCGATGTAAACAGTAAAAAAAAAAAATTATTTTTCCTGTTTGTATTTCTGTGCTCTTCATTTTTGCTTGTTTGTTTATTTTTTTTTTTTATACGGCTGGCTATCCTGCTTTTTTTTTTTGGAAATCATTTAGTAATTATGGGAATGAACTGCATCGGCAAAGCCACAAAGACTTTCAATGTCGAGACATCTCGATCAAAAATATTAAGGAACACTGTGTATGGTTGCATGGTTGTAGATTAAGTATTTATAATGACTATCATACCAATACATGTAACACCATCTCCTGAATATCCTTCAAAACAGGTGCAGTTGAACCTTCCATAAGTGTTGGAACAATCTGCTTTGGCATGACAGTTATGCGAGGTATCTGTGCATTCATCAACATCTGCCGCCAGGGAAACGTAATCAGTTCGTGTACACAAACTATAACATTTTGAGAACTCTAACTTTTTTGCGTGGAAATGGAAAAAAAATCACATTTTCAGAGACTTTTTGAGCTCTGGGATCAACATAGGCTGCCAAAATATTTAAACGAAGTTATCTATCGAACTTTTTTTTTCCCTTTTTAGTCGACAAAGATAAACAAGCGCCCAATAGCGGGAGGGAGGACAGGGGGGGTATGAATGTTTTACCTGTGCATAGACGTCCATCTCCTGTGAAGCCTTGTTTGCAACTACAAGTAAATTCACCCTCTGTGTTTTCACAATCGGCATCTTGGTGACAGTCATGGGCACCATCAGTGCATTCGTCGATATCTAAAAGAATGATAACAAGCTAAGGGTGGCGTAGATTGATATCGCTAACACCTCACTCTTATCAATATCTGTTCAATAGAATGATGATTTCTTCACTGAAAAGTTTACAGCTTAAGTTACTAACTCTACATTAAAAAAGCAATCTAGCAATTGAGGAATTGTAGCGGAGTTCTGCCACAAGTGGGACTTTCAAGTTCCTTCCGTTCGTTTTAGGTGAACATTATTAATAATTTTCGAACAATCACTCCGTATTCCGTATGAGACAAGTTGATTTTTACCTTTGGTCATGCCACTTACCCTTGAAAGATAACTTCACAATAGAGGCCGATAATATATAATCAATTTTTTTCTCTTGTCATTGTTCTCCTAGTCTCCCTTCCCACCCCCTTTTTTTTTTTAAGCATCTTGAGAAGTTTATTTAGTCAGCTTAACATACAGAAATCCTTGGATTTCTCGAAATAATGTTGCGGCTGTAACACCAGTAGTTCCCACCACCTTTTTCAAGCTTTTCATTTTTACCTATTGTTGTTTTTCTTGTCCAAATATGGTATGTTGTGAAACTTGCATATAAGGAGACCTCATTACCATTTTAAGCGTGACGCTCTAGGGAACCTGGAGAGATGTAAGTCGAAATGTCAAAACTAACTTACCGCTACAAGATACACCGTTGCCAGTAAAACCAACTTTACAAGAGCATGTAAAGGCTCCAGGAGTATTGGTACATGTGGCTTGTGAGTGACAATTATGGCTTCCTGTGGTACATTCATCGTTATCTAATGACAAGGAAAAGACAACAAACCAATAAACAATTTGTACTTTCTTAGACAAGGACAAAGCAGATGGTTAAAAGAACTAATGAGGAAATTGTGTCAATTCCCAACCGTGGGAATTCAATGAAATTATCTTTTTAACTTATTTAATCGGAAGATGGGAAAAAATCGCGATATAATCGATATCGGACAAAACCTTATTCTGGGCAGAAATCAATCGTAAAGGCCATCCCCTTTAGTCCTTTAGCGTCATTAACGACCAATGGCTTTCCTTCCAAAGTATTTCAACTTTCTCGTTTCATTAGGATTCACTTAAAATCTAAGGTGTGAAGCTTTACTAAAATTTGCACTAAGTACGAAAACAAAAAACAAACTATCAAATGGGAGGGAAAAATACTATTTTTCGATTTTTTTCTAAGCGATAAAGCTCTAAACCAAGCTTCCTAGAGGGAAGTGACTACCATCAATCAATTTTATAGCTCACATACCTCGACAAGGAGTGCCCGAATAACCAGATGGACAGATACATGCAGTTGAGCCAGGATTGGTAGAACATGCATCGTTCTCATCTGTTGAAGACGAAATCATTCTAACAAAGAAATTACTTAATGGCTTAATGCCCAACTAATCATGAGTAAACCAAACACTAAAGCGCCCACGTGTACCCACAAGCATCATAAGTGCTTCAATTTTCATACTAAATCAGCTCTGATAAAGGTACTTTTGAATCTTACCAAAACATGGTATGTCCACAGTTTCGTTAGATATTGATAGAATTATCTAAATATTATAGGAAAAATTCCATAAAACAGCTTGGGACGCTATGATTGTTTTGCACTTTTATTTGCCTGGGTGTTCTTTATTCATCAACTTGCTTAAGAACAATTAAAACCGCATAAAGAGAAACACTGTTTTTAAAAAGAAAGACCAAACCATATCACTGAAACTTAGAGCCGCCCGTATCTCTATATGTAACCTTTTCAACTTGATTTTGTTTTACTTCCCAATTTTACAATTAATGTAAGAAATTTGGATCAAAGCAGTATTACCAGACATCTATTCTGCCCGCAAATGTGGACATTCAAGCCTATTTTTGCAATAAATGGTACAACGTGTAATATCTAACCATTTATCTATCTCGAGCTGTCCTTTACATTCCCCTAAACCTCCCTTATCCCACCCCCACGCGTTCCAATGTGTATGAAAACCAATAAAAACGGGGTGGCGGAGAGAATACTAGTCTACCCCGCAGGCAACCTCCAGCCATGAGAAAACAGTATCCAGTCAAAGATTTAGTACTC